TGAAGGTACTGATGTTACTGATGGTACTGAAGGTACTGATGGTACTTAAGGTACTGATTGTACTTAAGGTACTGATGTTACTGATGGTACTTGAGGTACTGATGGTACTGGAGGTACTGTTGGTACTTGAGGCACTGATGGTACTGGAGGTACTTGAGGTAGTGGATGTACTGGAGGTACTTGAGGTAGTGGATGTACTGGAGGTACTTGAGGTAGTGGATGTACGGCTGTATGGAGCAGGACTCAGATGACCCTGAAGTCTTTCTGAAGACCGTCTTCCTAAAGAAATACAAAAAAGGATCAATATAAAATGAACATGAATTAATTAAAATATTCTAATAAATATAGTTATTTAAAGTTGCTTCATATAAAATTTTAGATTTAAAACATTTGTCTCCTGCCTTAAACAGGTCACATCAATGAAAATCTAGTTGTTAACTGGATATGTTGCTGATATTGTTAGCACTGTGCTGATGTTCTTAAAAAAAAAAAAAAAAAAAGAGGTGTTTGAAGAAGAGATCCAAGTTTTATCTCAGTCTAAATCCTCCTGGTTGTAATAAAAGCTGCAGCTAGACTGACCAAGTCTTTTGGATTAGACGAAACATTTCAACAAGTTTAAATTTTTTTTTTTTGGAATCTGTCCAGAGGAGCTAACTCAGCTAGTTTTGTTGTTTTCCTCCAGCTGCCTTGTGAAGACCAGATCATCCTGTTGAAGGGCTGCTGCATGGAGATCATGTCGCTGCGAGCAGCCGTGCGTTACGACTCGGAGAGCGAGACCCTCACGCTCAATGGCGAAATGGCCGTCACTCGTGAGCAGCTGAAAAATGGAGGACTTGGTGTGGTGTCAGATGCCATTTTTGACCTGGGTGTGTCGTTGGCCTCCTTTAACCTGGATGATTCTGAGGTGGCTCTCCTACAAGCTGTCATCTTGCTTTCATCTGGTAAGCTCCTGGAGTTCTCACTCGTAGAAGAATGATTTATTTTTCTCTCTTATTTTAGTTTATATTTGTGCCACTGCTGGACTTTAACCTAAAGACCAGCAGCTCTCGAACCGTCTGTGTTAAACATGAAAACTCTGGTTTGAGGTTCCACCGTCCGGTTCTTTCTGTAGCACAGCTTTGTTTTTGCCTGCACAGATTGTATGAATACTTAGCTTTGACATGAAATCCATACCAAACTGCAGTCAATCAATTAATCACCCTAATCAATGTGAGCAGCTTGGTCCAGCTAGCTTGGGTTTGTCTCCTCCACCGTGACTCTGTAATTCACGGCAACTCGTTGGAGATCAATACTGCTCTGCTGTGGCCAATGAGCAGGAGTGGTGTGAGGCTAACGTGGCCTTCTGTTCTGCTCTCTGCCGTTTCCAGCCATCGTTAGGGTTCAAATATCAGCTGAGAGTTTACATTAAATGGAACAGAACAATACATTCATGTCAGGAAAACTTGGTAAAACATGCTGCTAAACGTTTAGACAAACCATAAAGTTACACAGATCAATAATTACATGACATGTTGTTTACCTGTTTGTTTGGGGGAGGAGGGGGTGCTGCCTCCCACCAGTGCAGGCAGCACCGTTTTTCATTTCAGTGAATGTCTGATCTTTCTATTTTTACAATTATATCCTACCTGTTAACCTCGATGTGTCACTGCTATGATCAGCATCCTCTGGAGGAAATTATTGGCTGCCTGAGTTTGTGGTTCCAAGCATCCTCACCATGTCGACAACAACAACTAGAAAGTTCCTGAAGGAACTTTTGACGGGGACTGCCACGTTGTGGCAATTTAAAATTTTTTGATTTGACAGTACTCTTTGTTGGGCATTGCTTTCAGCTACAACCACATCAAATTTCCTCTGAATAGCTTTAAAAATCTCTGTTATGTCCATTTGAAATTAGCTTTTGCAGCCATCTTGCATTTTTAGATTTGGATTCAGAATGTGTTGTGCATGACTGTCTGGTACCACCACACCAAACGTCAGCTCGATATCTTTTACAATTGCTGTTATCATATGTTTTTCCTCTTTAGCTAAGGTGGCCATCTTGGATTTTTAATTTGCTTAGGAATGTATAACAACTCACTTTCAGCTACAACCTTACTAAACTTCAGCTCAATATCTCAAGGAATGACTGAGTTATAGTCACTTTAGAGTTTTCTGAGTTATCTGTGGCAGCCATCTTGAACAGAATGGTGCCAAAAGTTAATCATTGTTTTGTTCAGAGACCTCTCCACTCTAGGTCATGTGACCTCATTGTGGCAGGTGGAGACTGTGAAGAGTTCTGTCAGTGTTTTTCAATGACAAAAATGGTTTGGTTTGATTTTGCTAATTATGTTGACATGGTGACTCTAAATGCACGCACCACGATGCCGAGCCAATCGTTTTGATATAACATTTGTGATTTGTGATTGAGATTTGTGATGGATGGATGGACGAATGAATAGATGGATGGGTGGATGATGGATGATAATGGATGGATGGATGGATGATAGATAATAATGGATGGATGGATGGATGGATGGATGGATGGATGGATGGATGGATGGATGGATGGAT